CCGATGAAAGCTCTGAATCTCCTCTCATCAATGTCATTTACAATGATGAGCAAAATCTCTTTCTTGACGCTTTAAAATCCATTCAGGATCCTCATGAACGGGATGAGTATCTTGAGAAGCTCAAGAAAATCCTTCTCATAAGGGAGGCTCTATATATATATATGAGGGGGGTTATAATTACACTGATGTAAATTTTACTAAGTGTTACACCGCTCAATAACTTTATATTAAATGTGAATTTGGTAATTCCAACTGTTAGATTGAAAGTTCATATCTCTTAGATTATATATACAAAACTTTATATTAATCTTACTTCATTTTTATAAAACAAAATTGATGTAATATATTCATTTTAAAATACACTTAAATTTGAACACTTTGATTACCTTCTAGTTGTTGTTCAATTTTAACATTTTGATATAAAGATCCTAAGCACTCCTCATCATAGCTCTATTCTTCTCTTCTTTTTCTCTTCTAATTCTTTACAACGTAAAAATGAGGCAGATAGGATTAACTTTGCCTGATCACTTTCTTAAAATAATCTACTAGATCGAGTCAACCAAACTCGTTTCTCTTCTCGACCCAGTTCTGTTTTCTCCAAAATAATTAAATAAATAATACAAAATACTTTATCCCTAATAATATAATAATAATAATAATAATATAATAATAATAATAATAAATATTTCTAACCCAAAATATAATAATATAATTTTAATATCAAAATGTCCAATAAAATTAACCTTTTAAATTTTATTATGAAATATATAACTAATGTGATTGTAAAAATATAGGAGGTTGTATCTCATCTCGACTCCTAAATTATCCCTTAAAACATATAAATAATCATTTAAAATACTAGTACAAATACTTATTTAATATGTTCAAAATAATTATCCAAAACATAAAAAATAATTATTTAAAACGTACAATATATTTTTCTATAATAATAAAAAATAATCTTTAACTAAATATAATATAATAATAATAACATTATTTTAAAAGAAAAAACGAGGTATTACAATATCTGTTACCCAAACTTAACTAATATAAGATGTTAATAATAATAGAGAAAAAATATTTATCTATACTAAACTTTATCTCTTTTATGAAAAATATTATTAATTTTCATTTTACCTAAACTGAAATTATTGAGATTAAAAAGATTAATTATTATAAAAAAAAAATAATTATAATTAAATATGCATTTAATGAAGCGCGCGAGTTAAGAGTTGAGACTCCGAACGCGGTCATGAAACTATAGTCTCCATGTTTAGGAAATAAAGCTGCAATTTAATCAATCTAGATTCCTTGTGATGAGTATGAAATCAATTAAACTGAGATTGCGTATCATCATTTGTTCCTATCATTATAAAATTATTCAAACTATGGAAAACATTAGCAATTTCACCTTCGTTAAACCATTAAGACTCGAATGAGGAATTCAACATTTCAAAGTTCAACTAGTCAGTTTCGTGTGATTATGAATCCAGTTCTCCATGAAGCTTATTATTTTACCACGAATTGCTTTGCAAGTTCCTTTAATTGCATGTAACATGAATCTTGTGCCTATAAATAGAATGAAATCATATTCCATTGATAAAACAAGTCTCCACTCCAAAAGCACACCTAAAACAAGCTAGTCTATTATTTGTTTTGTTCAGCAAGAATGAATCCGAACTCTCAAAGCTCCAGGTAATTGTAGATATCTTAGTTATGAAAGGGAAGTTATGGTATATGGTTGTGGAATTTT